ATTAAGGTAACTGTATGATGATAATTATAATCTGGAACTGACAGGAGCTTGTCAGCACTGACATATCATGGCCACCTAGTGTCAGTTGTCAGCTGTCGCAGAAGAGGCCCCATCGGTGCAGGTGTTGTCTTTCTCTGCTAAGTCGGAACACCGGCTGTATATTGAAATATGTATGAGAATTATGTTTTAATTGAAATATATTTTATTTCTATTTGTTTGAACTAAAGTTATTCATATACTACATTCAGGGGTGCTGCTAGGAATTTTGGGCCCCCTGACAAAAAATTAGATTGGGACCCCCCCTCACGCAGCTGCTGTTACAATTTCTTGAGTCTATCTGACCCATCAAAAGTGTCACGATTTCAAAGGCTTGCAACTATGGAGTTAGATTTGTTTCACAATTATTCAATCAAAAAAAATAATAATAATGTCAAACAAAAAAGTAGTATTCAATCAAAAAAAAAAATCATGTCAAACAAAAAAAGTAGTATTCAAAAAAAAAAATTATGTCAAAGCAAAAATCCCAAAGTTTTTTTTTTGTTTTTTTTTTTACTTTTTTTTCTTTTAGGTTGTACGGAAGAGGATTAGGGCCACTGAAAAAAAAAAATAATAAAGTCAGAAAAAAAAAAAAATTCTCCGAATTCAGAGGGAAAAAAGTAAAAAAAAAAAATAAAAAATTGTGGCCCCAAAATTTTTTTTTCTGAATTCAGAGGGGGGAAAAAATCAGTGGCCCAATTTTTTTTTTTTTTTTTTTTTTTTTTTTTCTCAAAAATTAAAGGGGAAAAAAAAAAAAAAAAAAAAAAAAAAACTTGCGACCCAGACAAGCAACAAGCTTCAGACCCACAAATGCGAGTTGTGGCGGACAGCTAACTAACGTTCTGGAGAAAGAGAAAGATGTCTGATTTAAGTGAGTTTTTGCGTGCCAGAGGAGTCCCCGAAGCTTCCATTGCACTAATGGAAGAACAAAAGGTGAGTAAATCAAATGAGATAGTTTGGTCTCTAAATACGAACGGTTATGGCTAGTTGTTAGCATGTTTGTTAGCTTACGCGGTTATAGGAATAAGCGTGATTTACAATGTTAAATCACACAGCTGAATAAAGGATGTAACAGCTGTTGATTGCTGGAATTGTCCCGTAAGTGTTTGATGCTTATTGTTCTTCTGTTTGAATGTTTTATAATGAAACTAAGGTTAGCTGTATGTCAGCCACCTTCTAAATAAGATGTCTGCTGTGTTAAACTGTGTAACTTTTAGTTCAGTATATATATATATACAGCCACCAACTAAAGTGCATATCTATGTTATTTTGTCTTATGTTTGTGTTACGGTGTTTAAAAAAAGGTGTTTATGAAAATCACAACATAATTTTCCTGCATTTTGTGATGTGTCAGCTCAGGACTGAAATTACATCTCACTCCCTGAGCTTCACTATCAGTACATTTATTGCACAGGTATAGAAATGGTAGGCTTCATTTAACGAAATCAAACTTAATGTGATGTTTAATTTTTGTAATAAAAATGAACTGTTAACATTTCCTTGTGTGTTTTTATGCATGATACCTTTTACCTTAAAGAGACTGTATATTTTCAAATCTGTGTTTTATACTTGCATGCTAACCAATCCAGTCCTTCCTATTTTTCAGTAAAATAGAGAATTGAACATTTACTGCTGCTATTACTGTAATTCTCCCCAAAACAGTAAATCGCTTTAAGCATGGACCTAAGGATACAATCTTAAGGGTAACTTTAACATCGATTTGCAGTGTAAATAATTGTCCTTTCTCATCTGTTTGTGTGCAGATTGACTGTGAGACCTATCTCATGGACGATGCAACACTTGAAAACTACTTACCTTCATATGGAGACAGAAT